TCTAGGACACCTTAATGGAAAATTCCTCTTGGGGTCGTTCACAGATTTCGTTCACCTGTGTTCGTCCAAGGGTGCTGGGACAATTAGTTTGGGGATGGGGGTGGGCTGGTTAATTGGATCTAAGGCTACTTGGATTTTGTACTTTTAGACCCAGGCGATTTCGCCGATAACTGCACACCGCCTCGTGTCATCTCGGCTGATCTAAGACCGCTCTCCACACGTTTGCAAGTTCTACCCCCTCTATTCTATTCACACTGGGATGCTTGGCGATTTCCACCGCCTCGGCCACCAGTCGTTGTGGTGTGAATCTTAAAACCCGTCTCAGGATGTCCACATTTTCCAGCTGGGAACCTAGTTTTTAACGGCTGTGAGGTAGGTTGAATCACTAAGCCTCCATGTCGTCTACGGTACCCAGTAAGGGGAAAGTAACTGAATAACGCCACGCTCAGACATTCGGGCTGTTTGTCTCAGGATGTCCACATTTTCCAGCTGGGAACCTAGTTTTTAACGGCTGGGACTGAGGTTGAATCACTAAGCCTCCATGTCGTCTACGGTACCCAGTAAGGGGAAAGTAACTGAATAACGCCACGCTCAGACATTACCACGGGCTGTTTTCCATGGGTTCTGGCCATCTGGAACATCCTCAGAGCCAGCCCACCTCCCATAAGATGAAAGTTGTCGCGAAGTAGTAAGATTAGAGCTCCCTGAATGAGTCGGTCGTCTACAGCAACTGGTGGCGCATTCTAGTTTGAGTAAATTATTGCATACCGAGTTGCTGTCACAAACCCCACTACCACAGTCAGAGACGTAAACGTTGACAATACAAACAAAGACTGGTTTCTTTATAAAAAGCGGTCTAAGGTGGAAAAAAGGATGGTGAGGTGATGGGACCTGGTATCAGGCTCTTACAAACATTATGGGGAGCTTGTATCTCCAAAGGATCTCTCAGACAATCTGGATAAAAGTGAACAACACGAAGACCTTTGCAGCGTCTCCAGTCAGTCACAGAGGTAGTCGCGGGAGCTAAATCCCAGAAGGCACCCAATCCCAATAGAACCCAGGCTTTCCATACCGCCCAGCCAAATTGCAACTGTCACAGTTCTAAAGGAGAATACCAGCACACTTGTCCGACAATGGTTCAGGAACGCAGTACACAGGTCAGACAAGACAGTTTCCAGCGCTCAATGCGTTCCTGGTGCGCAATCAAAAACCTGCCTGTTAATTGCCTCGTTATCAATTCGTTCATAATAGTCGACACTAGCGACAGCCCTGAAACAGGGGTCATTAAAGACCCGAAGACTTTACAGAATGGTTGCCTGCAGAAGCCTTTTCCTGCGGCTATACAACAAGCTAGCCCGTAGTGCAACCTGGTACATGCGATTGAACCATGCGGTTCTTTCAATGCTAAGAGCGGCGCAAATTGGCAAGCGTGATCCAGACTTTCTTCATCCTATGGCCAGACTCCCTACTGTTGATCCAGGTGCAAGAACAACGAGTTACCTCTAATGAAGGATGACTGCGCTCCAAGAATATTCCGACCACTGCTGCCCATGAAGCATGATCGCCAGCCAGACCTAAACAAATAGTCATCCAATTTCTGTCCCATTGCGTAATGCCATAAACCATGTGGAGATCTAGTGGTCTGACGCCATGTTAGTCACTAAACTACGCTACCAATTGGGCCATATCCGGAAGGGCTGTTCAGTACCGTCAGCGTCAAGGGCCGTTTCAGAGTGACCGATGACAATGAGCAATGCTACTTGGGGTAGTAGGAAATGGACCGTTTTGCCAACCAGCTTCATCGAAGGTTCTTACAATGAGGAAAAATCTCTTGCCGCATCGGCTGGCTCCGAGGAAGGCGTTTGTCCTTCCAGATCTCCTTCCCCTTCGGAAGTTGAACTTACCGTTCGTCCTAAATCAGCATGCAACAAAAAAAGGAAACAAGTTTTGTGCAGGCTCATGAGGAAAAATCTCTTGCCGCATCGGCTGCCTCCCAGGAAGGCGTTTGTCCTTCCAGATCCCCTCCATTTCCATGAACTTACCGTCCGTTCTACATTAGCATGTAACGAAAAACGAAACAAGTTTTGTGCAGGCTAACCCACTACCAACCCCACACACCAATAACTGTTTGTACCCTTCGGATGGACTTTTCTTGTTAAATGAGACATTCAAGGTCGACGCACCCAAGATGGCATGAAAATCGATGAACCGAATCGAGTAAATACACAGAAACATCAACATAAGCCTGGGAACCAGTGACCTGAAGCTGACAGACCCTAAACGTATGCTTCATCGCCCACCGGATGTCGAATTCGACTGCCAGATTTCCTGATGACCCAGTTTCGCCGTGAAATTTAAGAAGTCAACTAACACAGACTAACTTTATCCGTAATAAAAAGATGCACGTGCCAGGTGCACAAACTATCAAAGTCAATGCTGACGAAAGACCATCGAGGGGGGTGTTGGGTCCAGGGTAGCAGCTGATCGGTGACTGGCATGCATGGCGTGATCGTGGAACGAATGAGACCTATGAATGGAATTTCACTCGCGATGCGTAGCAGTCAACTGGATTAAAGTGCAGGAATCTGTCCCCAACTACAATTGACATGAGATGAATTGGTTTACCTGCAGAGAGATGACACCTAACCCTCGGATGCATCGATCACATTTTTACCATTCGACAGATTCTGGAACAGCAAAACTGTTTCCAGCAACCAACAGCGGTTGTTTTTTTTACTTGAAATCTGTCTTCGATCCTGTCGACTATCAGGCATCATGCAGTCAGTGGAGCAAAGGTGTGCCCCCCAAATTCTTCACTCTCCTTAAGGCGCTGTACGCCAACTTCCGCGGACTTGTGGAGGTCTACAGGAAGCTCTCGTGTGAGTTCACCACATCGACTGGTGTCAGACAACGCTACCCTCTTTGCCCCTCTTTCCTTAACTTCGTCACTGATGGATTATGAAGGTCTCACTACCGGTCTCTAATGCCTGTAGGGTCGAAGTGCTCTCGGGCGTTGGCTCACAGACATTGAGTACGCAGACAACATGGCTCTTCTTTGGTCTGATGCCGTGGTAACGCAAACAAGCGCTTCACAACTGGAAAGTGTAAAGTGCTATTCCAGGACTGAGTGGGCTCGAACCCTGACCTCATGCTTGCGGATGAGCCAATTGAGGTAGTAGACAAGTTTGCCTACCTGTACAGCTGTATCAGTCCCATCAGTCTCATGAAAGATGACATATCCACCCGGAGTTCGACTTGGAATGCCCTATGTCTGGATAAACACCCAACGAGTATTTCGAAGCCCCAATCCGCCAGAGCAGGACAAGGAAGCATCAGGTAATATAACAATAACAAAGTTGAGTTGGAATGTCACGGAAGAACAGTCGATAAGCAAGATAGTCCAGCGATAATCTGCAACGGACCAGTAGAAGAGTTGTCTAAAGTGCATACGGACAAAGGGGTTTAAACAATGAAGTCAGAAAACAATTTTGCTTGCTAGAGAAAGTGTTCATCATGCTCTACGACATTCATAAGCTATGTATCGATTATGCACCAGTACAAGTATATCTTCACGGCCTAGCAAACATTGGGTTATGAGGTTCAAAGGGGAAAATGGGACACAACAAACCTTATATTTTGTCGCCAACTCAACCGTCGGCGCGGTTCCGATACTCTGACCATACAGTACGATTTGCTCCAGAGGCACTTTGAATCGTTCACGGAGCTCTCGCAGCACGGCCTCCGCATCCGCGTACAAATTCTCTTCTAACCGTTGGCCGGTACTCACGCCGTAGCCTGAGTAGTCATAACATATCACATTCACCCCAAAGCGATGAGCTAAGGACTGCAGAAATCCTGCCATCTGATCGGGGAAGACAGAGCATGGGGGAAACATGAAACATATATGCATCCGCGTAGATAATAGTGCTAGAAAATGTTCTAAGCGTAAAATGTAGTGTCTGATTACTTAAACGGAAGAATGAACCTACAGTGCAAACAATGATTTGCGCAGAAAACAAATCACAGTCGGTGGGCGAATGCATTGCTTAGACTCATTGTGGTCGTTGTAACTGAATCAAAGTACCTGTTTTGTGAAATGGGAGAATAACAAACCGAAAGAAGGGGTCGGAGGTTACTGAGAGGCGTATTTGCTGGGGGACGGTATCGGTATTTACACCAACGTCTTACGATGATCAAGTTGAGCAGCGCTCACTGACCCCCCCATCCCAGGCCATGGTAGTGACAGACCAAACGCACAACACACAACTCACTTCATCACAAAAGAGGATCTATTGCAATCTAAACGTGGTACTACAAGTATCGAAGGTCTGTCCCACAATCAGAATACTGTCCAATATGTAGTCATCATCTTCATCGACAACATGATATCAGTGTTCAACACTGATGATTCGCTGCCGTACAACCATGACTTATTTGAAAGCCTTATTGTAAAGAAAAGAATAAAGGTGGACGGGGAAGGGACTTAGTGCTAGCTTACCACATTCATTCCGAGGTGCCTATACCTCCAGACATTAACTCAAGAGATCTGGATAGAAACTGACAACAAGAACGCTAGTCATATCTTGTATTGTCTCCAACCAGGCACAGTGAGGATTACACAGCGGGTAGCACCGACAGTACCCAAGCGTTTCGTGATCTCCTTCATACTCAAGTCAAGAGTTGGCCACCTCTCTGTTTACGCCACTCTGAGTTGGGCATGGAAAACAGCACTCTCTTCGGCAAACGGTGTTTCGGCATACGTAACACATGTCCCAACTAACGCAGCTTCTGGTGCTGGACA